TTGTTCTCGACAAGATGCACTTGTCATTAACCATTATTAACCTCTGAAAATCACTTTTTAAAATGGATTTGTTTTGATCATAGATATGTTGATCCAACCATAGGTGATTGTTTGATTGTCTCATATATTTGACAACCACTATTGACCCCTTCTTCTTTATATATTAGACTTTGTCTCTATGTCACAATTTCCTTTTTCTCTTTTCTTTACAACCCTTATCTTCCTTCGGACCCTTAACCATGGCCACTGAATTCTTTAAGGTCCCTACCTCTCAATCAATGTCTCATGCCTCAGAATCAACTATTGCATCACACCACTAGCTAGAGTTCCTTCAAGATCTCAAAAAGGTAGCAGATGGAAAGTTGATTCTCCCTAGTTTTGAAGGGTTGGGTTCTTGGATCCATATACCCAAGTTGGAATTAAGAAAGGCTCCCAAGATCTTTTCCTCCCATGCTTTTTATAGTATTGTTTCTACAGGATCTAGTGTCCAATTCGTGAAGAGTGACAACGTATGCAAGATCCTTTCTTCCATGATTGTAAATAAGTTCTCTTTCTTTTTTCATTTGAAACCTAGTGAAGGTAAATGGGCTTATTTTCCCAAGAGAGATGTCAAGGTTTGTGTGAGCAAAAATGAGTCTTATAAAGTGGACAGCTCGTCAATCAAGGAATCTTATCTTCCTTTTAAAAAGAAGGACTGGAACAAAAGGTTCTTTTTTTTTTTTGTGAAGCTGCAAAAGTTAACATTATTGAATGATTGATACATGCTTTGGTTTGGTTCTATCTAGTGTATTGGAATCAAAATTAATTGGTGCCAATAGGTCAGTACTTAGTTTTCACTTTATAAATATTGAGTACCAATTCTTGAATATTGTACCAAACAAAATTTTCAGGTCTAGTACTCAAGGTTGCCCTTGAGCACTAAATAAAATTGGTACACTAGCGAGCCAGTTTGGTTTGGTCTGGTATTGTACCAATGCTCACCCCTATCTCCAACAACTTTTGGAAGCTACTTTCTTATGTTTTACTAACATTTTGTTGAGTATTATAATTCAATCGCACATCCACTTGATCTTCATTATCTAAAGCAAATTCATAGAATCGTAAAGCATCCTATATTAATGGTTGTAAGTCATCAACTTCATTAATATCATGAGCTTCTTGGGGGGTGATTCTAGTTGCATATCGTAAGGGTGATTAGGAGAATATGATGTGGAAGACCCTCCATGGCAATACCATTGTGCCCTTTAAGAAAACCTTCACAAGGTAAGTGCTCTTGTATAATGTCAAAAGTTTGTAAATGAGAATTTAAGCATTAAGAGCATAGACAATTAATTGGCCTATGTCAATGAAACTCTTTTGCAAATGATAGAGGACCTAACACCAATCTAATACTTAGCACTTAAGGTTGATTTAGATAACCAACTCCTATTCATTACTAAAGATAAGAAAAAAATCTAAAATTTCAAAAGAAAAACTTAGTTTGTCAATAAATCATAGTATCTATTTATATTGACATTATGACTATTATCATAATAAATAAATAGTAATAAACCTTAAAAAAAGTTGCTTTGTTCAATTAAGGAGCATTAACCACTTTTTTGTAATGCGTTTCTTCTCAATATGGAAGGAATTTTACTACATTACATTATAATTATCATCTCATATCTCTAAATATAAATCAATTTTATTGAAAGGAGATACTGCAAAGGAAACCACTCATTAAACACAAAATCAATTCTAAATGATTAACTAGAGTTGGAATGCATTAAAAGGATAGAAAAATTAATACAAATGCATCAAAAAGATAGAAAAAATAAATTAGAATATTGTAATCCTTACCAATAAAGTTATTTGATACTTAGAAGAAGAAACAACCTTAATCTCCAATACGATTGAAAAGAAAAGAGGAAGAATCCAAAAAAAGGACAATTAAGGAAAAAAAAGAAAATTTGAAGCATTATATAACTATACCTAGTTTTTTTTTTTTTTTTTCGTGTGTTGTAGCATGGGTTATACTTTAATTTTTCATATCAAAGTCTAGATTCTATACTATATTTTAGTTACAATATTCTAATTGCATTTGACAATTAGCAAAAATATTTTTCAAAATTATAATTAGCAATAATTTTATATATATTATGTATTTTTTTGTAATTATTGTTATGATAAAATTGTTTTATGAATATGAGTATTTCTTGTGCTTCATTTAAATTAAAAAAAAATGATGTTCTAAAAAAAATGATAAAGTTATTTTTAAAGATATGTAGGTTGTATTTGTTAAATAGGTTAGAGGATAAAGTGTCAAAGGTTTTTACATTATGTATTAGAAAGTATGTTTTTGAATTCATATTGCACCAAAATATATTTTTTGCCTTAAGGTAATTTTGTATTTTTACAACCTACTTTTTGTAATTTTCATTTTGAAAAACTATGCTCCTCTATATTGTAAATTGGAGTTTTAAACTTTTTCAAATGATCAAAATTTGAGATTATTCTAATTTTATAATATTAAATCTTGTCATTTTTCTTTTATCTATATTTTTTTTCTCAATTTTTAGTGGTTCATCCTAGGCATGGAACAATTTTAGTTGTAATAGTATTTTTTATTTGACTGAGCTTTAAAATCTTATTATTTATATATTTAATTTTGAATTACATAACAGATTCAAACTTTTTATCATCTATTTATTTTATTACACCATATTGGTTAAGTCATTTGTTTTGTAGTCTTATTTAGATTAACTATACTAGTTTTATTTTAGTTCCTTTTTTGCTTATAAACAGGTTTTATGTTGTTTGAGTTTTTTCTGTGTACTTGTGTTATTGATTGTTGATATTATAATAAATCAATAACTATCATTTTTATCATGTTGTCTTTTCATCTTTAACAACAAATAATGATATAATAATTATAATTGAGATTAAATTTAATTTTCACTAAACCATGATATAATAATTGTAATTGAAATTTGAAATTACATTTTTTATTGGGAAAATTTTGTACATACGAACCTTTTATTTTCCATACTCACTTGTACTTTTATCTTTGAATTGAGTAATAATAATATTAAATAATAATAACAGTAATAATTGTAATACCCCAAAATTTTGTGATATTTTAGCATTAAGTTAAGGACTAAATTGTGAAAACAATATTGTTTTGGGGCCTAATAGTAAAAATTCCAAAGTTGAGGGGTTTAAAAGAGGAAAAAATTTGGATAAGGATCCACTATTTTTTTTCCTTCTTTCTTTCTTCCTCATCCCGTGTGCTTCTGCTCTTCCCGACCCCCCCTGCAGCAGAACAAGGAGCAAGCAAGCCGACAGCCATGCCTTGAGGAAACCGGTAGGAAGCTTGGTATTTTCCCCTTCCTTTCTTGTTCTAGAACCCATATAGAACCCATAAATCTCTCCCCCTCTGCTGAAATTCCAGATCTGCTTGGTTTCTCCCCCTCCCCTGTCCGTGAGCTGCAGCTGGTGATGCGAAATTCTGGGCTTTTTTCGGTAAGAACAGCCATGATTTCATCCTTTTAGCTTTGATTTAAGTTGGATTACTCTAAGTTCCTCTTGTTCCTTCAATTTTGGGTGGTTCCCGTGAGTCCCCTACAGCTAGCCGCCGGCTTCTTCTCCCCCACCAGGTCCGGTTCTGCTGGCTAGAAAATTATGGTATGTGACAGCCCTTTTAAGGCTTAAATTATCCATTTAGTTTGCTGCCTTGTGATGTCCGAAAATCTGCTGGAAATAAGGGAGAAATTTGATAGTAATTAGACCATGATTTAGCTTAATTCAAGTGGGATTTATGTGATTGAGTGTTAATTGACTGCTGTGATTTTGGAGAACAATCCCATGAAATTAGCTAGTGTTTTGGCCAATTTTGGAAGTGCAGTTACTGTTCACGGGCACTGTTCACGCATTGATGGCCAACAATTAACGGGGATTAAATGATTAGTTTGTAATATAAGAACAAATTTGGAGATGTCCGATAATGTGGAGACCGATAGAAATAGCATTGTGATTAAGGGGTAGTCATGGTGATTTTACTTTTGAATCCGTAGTATGGTGATTAATTTTTGGATATTTTGATTAGGTTCCTGATCGTTCTGTCAGTTTAGCACTAAGATTGAGTCTTCGGTTTTATGCGAGTGAGGTAAGTAAATTTATGATAATGTTCGTACAGTTTTTGAAAGCATGTTTTGACTTGTTTTTGAAGTGGTGGCGGAACTAAACCTATTTTATACAAAAGTAAGTATGACTGATTTGAAGTGAAATTTTATGCTTTTCATTAAATTGAGCATGCCTATTTGAAATTTAATTGATTGTCCCGATGATTTGAAAGTGATTGGTGAATTATGATTTTTCTTTAACTTTTGGCTGTTTTGTCTTCAATGTGGTTATGTTATTAATGATCCTGCTAGTGGGGGTTAAACGCTAGCACATGTCGACATGTTATTGATAGAACCGGTTTGTTCGAGTGACCCTGCTAGTGGGGATTATACACTAGCAAATAGTGTATCCTGCCAGTGAGAGGTTGCTAGTGTAGCCTGCCAGTGAGAGGTTTGTAACACTGGCCATGACCTATAGAGGAGACGTTTATTTCATTTCCGTACTGTATCCGTTTTTTCGTGCTTACACTTGTTGGCATGTTATAAGTTTAATTAAGGGCTATCCATATTTTACTTACTAAGTTTATCTCATAGTTTTTCCTTGTCCACCATTTAAGGAAGCGAAACTGAAGACAGGAAACCACGGGAAGTGACGAGTTAGAAGGCTAGCCATTTCGAGATTGATATAGATTTTAGATATAGATCATGATCTTGTAAACTAGATTTTAATTGGAGATTTTATAATTTTATTGAATGGATTGTTAGTTACAATGGATTTTACCTTGAGATTTTGAGCTTTAAGTGTTGGACATAGAATTAATTTGAAATATCTTATTTAAGTTATTGGATTGTCGAATGTGAATTGGATAAGTTTCGAGCCTTGTGCACTTGTGGGACCCGTCTCACGAGTGTACGGCGTTTGTCGCGCTTCGGATTCGGGTTCTGGGGCGAGACAGATTTAGTGGTATCAGAGCGTAGGTTAGGATTAAATTAAGCACCTCCATATTGAGTGGTATCGAGCTTAGATTTAATTAAATACCTAGGTTTAGTTGAATACCTAGGATTTATTTAGAACTTAGCTAGCCAATGGATTTTAGAGCCGTGGTGAGACGAGTGATGGGGTTATATAAGGGACAATTTTGATTCATGTTGCTTGAATTTTTTAATCCATTTTGATGAGATGGTAATCTGAATTGTTCTTGTTTCTCGCCTTCATGCCCTATGTAGATTCATGAAATTAATCTTGTCCGCCATGTTCTTAAGATCTTGTTTTGAAACTTGGTCATTTTTTGATAGTCTGCACTTGTTTAGACTTGTTACATGAATAGAATTTTTGTAGGCTCTATTGCCATAGTTGTAAAATCTGGGGAGCTGCAGAGATCTTTTGTTATTGATCCTGTTGGTTTCTACAGCATAGCTGGTTGAGAATTTGTTCTGTTTGTCACATGACTAGTGGAAGATGGGCAAACCCTCTACTTTGTAAGAGATTCAAGGCTATTTTAGCAAATGTTGTGTGTTTTCTAGATGCGTTTTAGGAGCTGGATAACTTGGTAATTCCGTTGCTCATTATCTTTCTGAAAGTCTTATGGTGAAGTTTTACTTTTTCCATTTGGAGCTTCATGGTCTTTTCATGTGGCTCATTTTTCTATATTGGTTAATCAAAAGCAATGATCAATTCAATTGAAATTGCCTTGTTTTTGTGAAGATTGGCAAGCTGTCATAAAGTTAAACTCTCTATTGTTGCTAATCTCTACATTCTTGATACTTGGAAAGTGCTTGAAACTCCTAAAATCCGTCTTGAATCTTTCTTGACATTGCTTTGTACTTGTTCTTGAAACTGAAATCCAAAGGAAATGGATAATAATTATTGAAATCTTCATTATGTTGATTCTTGTCTGAAATTAATTCTTGCACTGTTCTTGGAATCTATTTTGAATTATCCTTGAAAACCATTCTTGTCTTGATTCTTGCTCTTGTTCAAATTCTGTATACTGCTCTTGCTCAAATCCTGCATATTCTGCTAGTTCTTGTTTTAGTATACCTGTTGATCTTCTTGATTTTTGATTTGTTCATATGGACACCTCTTAGGAGGGGTGATGATTATTAGAAAATACCTATAAGAGGCATCATATATTCTTGTCTCTTGCAAGTGTTAATCTTTGTATTCTTGATGTCTTAACTTTGACTTGACTCTAAGATGTCTAGGATGACTTGATTGTAAATCTGCTTAGCCTCCAAGGGCTACAAGGTGAAGGGGTAGTCTTTGAAGTACCTAATGCCCTAGAGTTGTGTTCCAAGAGAATGGTTCTTTTATCTGGCTGCTTTGATTTTTGTTTGCCCTTTTAATTATAAGACAGTGATCTTTTTAGTATCCTGATCCCCACTATTGATTATTCTGTTAATTAATTCGTGTTACTTGGGGTGCTAGATCTAGACATCCTGATTATATCTACTCTGGAATCCTTGTTCTCATTGTCATTATTGAAATCTCTTTTGTGGGCTTAATCCTTGAATTTTATTGTTTGTTTCATGTTTAACTCGTCTTTCAATTTTGACTGCTTAGTTAAATTGATCTTGATTCTTGGTGAATGCCGTTTTGTTGCTAAAATTTTTGAGGCATTCTACCTTGCACTCTTATGTTTCAGTATTCTTCCAAGCATTCATATTTTCCACTGATTTCATTCTGATGCTATTCTGGAAATTTCACATGTCATTTGATGGGTCTAGCTTTTAACTCTTGTTAATTGCTAAAATTTGTTTCTTGATTCTAGTTGTTTTGTTAAACATGATCTTATTGGTTAACCTTGTTTTGTGGCAGAGTGTATAAGGCATCCATGAACTCGTTCATTCATTAATGATCCATATATCCATTGGATGCTTATCCGTCTTTGATAGAGTTCAAAATTTTGTTGTACTCATCTTTAAATCCATGCCATTCTTTGCCAACTCATCTTGTGTTGGGTTCATAGCGTAACCCCACAATTGTTCTTTGTAGTCTTGGCAGGATTTATTTTATTCCTTGTGCTTTCCGTATTACCTCAACCTCTAGTAACCTGTTTCATGGTAAACCCTGTTAAGTAGTTAACGTTTTGCTTCTTAAGATTAGTTGTGGTTTGATGTCAGAGTGGCGTAGCGGAAGCGTAGTAGGGTATGTTCTGTTCATAAAGAATTGGTGAGGCATTTGTTTGTCTTGGATTGTGTGAAGCCATTCACCACTCGAAATGATCCTCAATTTGAGTTTTGGGGACAAAACTCCTTTTTAGGAGGGGTGGATGTAATACCCCAAAATTTTGTGATATTTTAGCATTAAGTTAAGGATTAAATTGTGAAAAAATATTGTTTTGGGGCCTAATAGTAAAAATTCCAAAGTTGAGGGGTTTGAAAGAGGAAAGAATTTGGATAAGGATCCACTATTTTTTTTCCTTCTTTCTTTCTTCCTCATCCCGTGTGCTTCTGCTCTTCCCGACCCCCCCTGCAGCCGAACAAGGAGCAAGCAAGCCGACAGCCATGCCTTGAGGAAACCGGTAGGAAGCTTGGTATTTTCCCCTTCCTTTCTTGTTCTAGAACCCATATAGAACCTATAAATCTCTCCCCCTCTGCTGAAATTCCAGATCTGCTCGGTTTCTCTCCCTCCCCTGTCCGTGAGCTGCAGCTGGTGATGCGAAATTCTGGGCTTTTTTCGGTAAGAACAACCATGATTTCATCCTTTTAGCTTTGATTTAAGTTGGATTACTCTAAGTTCCTCTTGTTCCTTCAATTTTGGGTGGTTCCCGTGAGTCCCCTGCAGCTTGCTGCTGGCTTCTTCTCCCCTGCCAGGTCCGGTTCTGCTGGCTGGAAAATTATGGTATGTGACAGCCCTTTTAAGGCTTAAATTATCCATTTAGTTTGCTGCCTTGTGATGTCCGAAAATCTGCTGGAAATAGGGGAGAAATTTGATAGTAATTAGACCATGATTCAGCTTAATTCAAGTGGGATTTATGTGATTGAGTGTTAATTGACTGTTGTGATTTTGGAGAACAATCCCATGAAATTAGCTAGTGTTTTGGCCAATTTTGGAAGTGCAGTTACTGTTCACGGCGTGAGCACTGTTAACGCACTGATGGCCAACAATTAACGGGAATTAAATGATTAGTTTGTAATATAAGAGCAAATTTGGAGATGTCCGATAATGTGGAGGTTGATAGAAATAGCATCCTGATTAAGGGGTAGTCATGGTGATTTTACTTTTGAATCCGTAGTACGATGATTAATTTTTGGATATTTTGATTAGGTTCCTGATCGTTCTGTCAATTTAGCACTGAGATCGAGTCTTCGGTTTTATGTGAGTGAGGTAAGTAAATTTATGGTAATGCCCGTACAGTTTTTAAAAGCATGTTTTGACTTGTTTTTGAAGTGGTGGCGGAACTAAACCTATTTTATACAAAAGTAAGTATGACTGATTTGAAGTGAAATTTTATGCTTTTCATTAAATTGAGCATGCATACTTGAAATTTAATTGATTGTCCCGATGATTTGAAAGTGATTGGTGAATTATGATTTTTCTGTTAACTTCTGCCTGTTTTGTCTCCGATGTGGTGATATTATTAATGATCCTGCTAGTGGGGGTTAAACGCTAGCACATGTCGACATGTTATTGATAGAACCGGTTCGTTCGAGTGACCGTGCTAGTGGGGGTTATACATTAGCAAATAGTGTAGCCTGCCAGTGGGAGGTTTATAACACTGGCCATGATCTATAGAGGAGACGTCTATTTCATTCTCGTATTGTATCCGTTTTTCGTGCTTATATTTGTTGGCTTGCTATAAGTTTAATTAAGGGCTATCCATATTTTATTTATTGAATTTATCTCATAGTTTTTCCTTATCCACCATTTAAGGAAGCGAAACCGAGGATGAGAAACCACGGGAAGTGACAAGTTAGAAGGCTAGCCATTTCGAAATTGATATAGATTTTAGATATAGATCATGATCTTGTAAACTAGATTTTAATTGGAGATTTTATAATTTCATTGAATGGATTGTTAGTTACAATGGATTTTACCTTGAGATTTTGAGCTTAAGTGTTGGACATATAATTAATTTGAAATATCTGATTTAAGTTATTGGATTGTTGTATGTGAATTGGATAAGTTTCGAGCCTTGTGCACTTGTGGGACCCGTCTCACGAGTGTATGCCGTTTGTCGCGCCTTAGATTCAGATTTTGGGGCGTGACAATAATAATAATAAATTAAATCTTTTGCATATTGCCTCATGCATTAATATTGAGATAAACTATATTCAAATTATTAATAAATTGTTTTAGTTTCTTTTCTTTATCACTATTCTTAAAATAATATTGAAATAACACAATAATTATCATTTATATATTACATTATTAACTACATATCTTTTGATCTTCCATTATCAACTATAATAAAATAATTTTCATTGAAGTTACATTTTCTATTATTTAAATGAATCATAATTGAATTTTTGTAGAATCATAACCTTTCACTTTCCATACTCCTATCATCTATCTTCCTTTAATTCATCAATATAAGATTTTTGATATAAAAGAAAATAAAAAGAAAAGTTACATAATTTTGAAATGGTAAAAATAAATTTAAGTTATTTAAGATCTTTACTATTACACAAATAATTATTGTGCATTATAATCTTATAATTTGTTCTTATCTTAATAAAAAAAACTGGGTTCTATCCCTCTTCTTTTAATTTAATACATTATATATAATTAAAAATAATAATAATAAAATAATTAAGAAGAAGATAAGAAATTGAAGAAAATAAAAAAATTTAAATAAATTATTAATCACATTTATTATATTTTTATGTAAAAATAATATATTCTTTCTCTTTTTTAAAAAATTTATTTTTTATAATTAAAATAAAATGACAAAATTATTGTTTAATTAATGCTTGGGATTGGATTTTATAGATAGATAGATAGATAGATATAGATCTATAGATATAGATTTATCCTCTTAATATTAAAAAAAAAACTATATTAATTATCACTATTTTTATTAAAAATTTTAAAAAATGACTATAAATTGAGATTTTTTAACACACATTATCCATATACACCTAAAAACAAAGTATGGATTGCTTTTAAAAATAAAAATAAAAACTTTTTTGTACTTTTCATTTGCTTTTGAATTGTTTATGAACTGATATATTTTATTGTCTTTCTAGGCCTAAAGTTTCGGTCTACTTCTTACTCCTAAGTTTTTACAATAACATAGCATGATATTTGTATTTCATTAATTTTGGTACCTCTTCCTCCTTTAGAATCTTGAAAGTTAGAGAATATAACAAAAAATCAATGTAAAATTTGTGATAAGAAAACAAATATTAGTTAGGCATTTTAAGTATATATCAAAGCTAAATGAAACTATACTTAGAAGTGATGTAGACATACCTGAACCAAATGTTAGCTTATTGACTTGATTTAGATGAATTACGTGAGTGAGAACTTCTATAAGTTAAAAAGTACTATAACTAAGACCTTACTTTTGGGGTATGGAGATTTAAGTTTTGTAATTTTTTATAGGCTTAGAAAATGAAACTTAAGAGTTCTAACTGTTACAAATATTTATTTGGATTTGATATTAAAATTTCAATATAATAAAGATAAAAAATGTTTGAATAAATAGCTGTTAAATATGAAAAGTTTTATATGTATGTTAAAACTTAACTGGGTTTTTACATGAAAGGGAAAATAAAAAGTCACATCACTTTCTCTTTTTTGATTTAATATGCATGTAATGAAAAATAAAAAATTAAAATGCATATTACTTCCTTTTAATGCATCTCTTTCTTTTTTTAACCAATTGTTAAATGCATACCTAATTAATGCATAAGGTAACATTTTATATATATAAATTACTATTATATTATATATTTTATATATATTATATATTATATATAAATGCATATGCTATTTAATGCATAAGGTAGCATTTTATATATATATATATATAGATATGTCAAACCTAGGCATTGATGAGCAACATATTTTAAATTGGAATGAAAAATTATTAAATTTATCAATCTATATAGAATAATTAATATAAATATATTTAAAAATCAACCTTTTCTTTAGATTAAGTTCCAAAAATATGGGATGCACCAGGACCATAGTGCAATTGGCACTTGTAGTAAGTATAGAGGAAAGAGACATTTTTCCGAGAGAATGAGGGAAATTTTAAGGGAAGAGGGAAGGGAAATGAGAGATAAACATAAATGATATATTTTGGTCTCTTGTTTTTAATATTGTGATAGTGTTTTAATTAAAATTGCTAAAATAAAGAAAACTACTGAAAGCTAACAGTCTTTAGAAATGTTGGTAGTCATGGGTTAACAGCTGCAGAAAATAGAAAACGATGAGACTGATGACCTTTGTTAAAAACTTGGTTTAGCAATGTAGCATTTTTATGAAATGCTAGTAAAAAAATGTTGTCTTTAAAGCCTTTTTTTTTTAGTGTATCTAACATATGTATGCACGGTATTAGCAGTAAAACTACTACTCATGTTGTACAACATTGACATATTAAGTTTAAGTAGGCATCTTGCATATCATTGTAGTTGTTGACTACCAAAATTTTTGAAGTAGCTACCATACAAGATTGGATTAAATCACCTTATAGATATTTAATTGAAGGGGAGAATTATACACACTTCATTCTTTTTTCATTTACCATGGTGTTTTTCCTATTGGGTTTTACCTAGGAAGGATTTTAATTAGGCTATAAGGCCCCAATCACACATTGAAAGAAGAGTTCAATGTGAGTAGTGTGTAAGTGTGGAGATTAATTACTATTAACAATCTAAACTTAAACTATTGAGAGCCTATGGGTCTTCACCCAAAGAGCTATTATGCTAGTGATGATTTTTAGCCAAGATCATTTCAATTGTTACAAGAGAATTCCCCCTTACAAGTATATATGAGACCATGTTAGAAGACCTAAATACAAACCATTGGAGGAATCCTTCTTGGTCTAGCAAGGCCTTGGAGTAGACGATGGTGGGTATTTCAACTTCATCATCTTCCATGTTCCCTCTTCCCCATGCAATTACACACCAACTAATGGTGATTAACTTCTCACTCCCTCATATAAGTAATGGTGATAAACATCCATGTTGTAATCCCTCCATTAGTGGATGATTGGTCTACCCTTAAGAGGGTGTCTCAATGGTTAAAAACTTGAGACTTCAAGTTAAAGACCTAAAGTTTGAAGCTTGGAACAATTAGGTAAGGACTAAGGGAAGAAGAAGGTTATCTTTTGTTGTGTAGTCCATCCTTTGATGTACCAAAAAAAAAAAAAAGTGGGTGATTTGTCCTTGTAACCATGTATTTAGTGAGTGTTTAATTTTTGTAACTTCTCCCACTTACTTAGCTATATATAGGACTTGTATTCTCATAAATGGTGTGGTGAAGAAAAGAGTAGAAATATAACATTTCTTTGCATTACCTCTCTATATCTCTCTAATTCTGTATTCTTCTTCTTTGCTTGTTTCTTTCTTATTTTACATAATTATTTTTTATCAAAAAGAAAAAAAAATTAAATGAACTATGATATTGGGTGATGTTATTGTCACATCCAAATTATTAACACCAAATTCTATTCTATACATACGTTTTAACTATTTTACCAGGAGTTGTATTCTCATAAATGGTGTGGTGAAGAAAAGAGTAGAAATATAACATTTCTTTGCATTACCTCTCTATATCTCTCTAATTCTGTATTCTTCTTCTTTGCTTGTTTCTTTCTTATTTTACATAATTATTTTTTATCAAAAAAGAAAAAACTATTTTACCTACTATTTTACCTATTAGAAAATGAAAAGTTAGTGAAAACAATGTTCTTAAAATTTCAATAATTAAAAAGATATAAAAATAAAAGTGCAATATTTTAAAGTGACATTAACACTCTAAGACTTAACAATAATATCACCCACGATATTTTTACGATCTTCAATGAAGCAACCATAGTTTGAGTTTATTAGGATTTTACTATACCAAGATTTCGACGAAGCACAACTTGCAATACAATTGTTTACACCATAAATTGCATTTTAGTGATGTCACATGTTAATAGATAAGGTGAGATCAGATTTGCTAAAGAGATGCATATATGTAAAAATTGGTTTTGAGAAGATAAAGATTATCCGGTTTGTTGTAGTTTGAATTTAAAAATAAACAATAATTCCTAGAGTTTAGGAGGAATTGTAGTTGAGGAGTTATCCATGATCTAAACAACCAGCGATTGAAGCAGAAAGACAGTTCATAAAAAGCATATAAATAGAAGCTTTCTAATTTTTCAACAGACACAGCCAACCTTACACAAAACTCATCAAATTTTCAATTCTTTAGTTTCATAATGATTACTCATCTTAGCTTTCATATTTCAGTTTTAGCACAAATCCCAATAGATTTAGGTTGTTTTCAGCATTCAAGTACTCAAATTAGTTTGTGTAATTGCTTCTTTGATTTCCTTTCACACAATAAACATCAAGTTTACTTTAATTTGCATCTCATTTAGTTCATTTTGGATCTATTAACTTAAATTCACTATAGTGGTAAAGTCCTTAAGATTGTTCAAGGATTAGGAACCCATTATGCAAGAAGGCATCTCTTCCTCTTGCAAATCGTCTAAAGGGTGCAAAACTCAATCTTAAACCAATATTCTTCTAGTCATCCTAACGGAGGTCGACCACGTGGAAGGAGAGAGTTGTTGGAAAATCTTTTTTTTCTTGCATTTCAGAAAAATAAGTAGGTACGCTTGCATCCAGATTTTATACGTGTAAAGTCACTTGAGGATTTTTGAGGAAACAACAATATTATTGAGATTCATCATATGGATATGTTGTTAGGGATTCCTTTCATTGTAATTCCACCCTTGGAATCAACCTTAGATGTATCAGGGTAGAGAAGTTTGAATAGAGCCTTGGCAGTGCCCCATCTATTCTGATTCAGATAATCTTTGTTCCTAAGCAAGATTCTTTCCTCTATCTTTACAAGTTCATTTTTTAACGCATTGAATTTGTCTTGAACATCTTTGTTATCCGACCACTTTGATTGCTGCCTTTGCCCTAAGTATATCTCATCAGTTGTGCGATGCGAGAGAAAACTTGTCAATGTCATGACAATTTCCATCTCCTCCCTTCCACGCAACGTCTTGATAAAATGCATCTCCATATCTTCTTCGTTTGAAATCTCCTTTTCTTCTGGAGCAAACTTTCTACACATAGTGGGACGGTTTGGAGGTTAACCAGCATATGCATACTGCCCAAATTTCAGTGCAGCGTGCAATGCTGAGGCCATCCATATGAGAGTTGCTACAGCCTTTATTAGATGGTCACGATCTATCAGCTCATACCATTCTTCACGGCTTCGATCAGGATGACCTTTTCCCGGATTTCTTTCAACCATTGCCGGATTTCGTCATCATACCTGACAAAATTACCATCTTTATAGAAGATGTGGCAAAAATCTGTGACCCATGTTTAATTGCAACCCATATCTCAACTCCATCCACAGCATAGGGATTGTCTTTAATGATGAGGTCAACCTTATCAGAGTTCACACTTGGCTTTCTTGCCATATTTCTAAAAAATTATTGCATGCCATGAAGACCATAGTAGAACATTGTATAGCGATCGATAATTCTCTGCAAGAATTGGGTATTCTTTTGGAATGAATATATACCTTAATTATGACAAGATCCTTAGGAAGCCCCTGCTTCTTATTGCCATTCTTTGTAAAAATAGGATGACAACTCCATGGAAATTTTACTTGTAAACAGCGTCCTTTCTAGTATTCCTCCTGAATTAAGGAGAAAGGCTCGAGCAAATGCATTTATGTGTATGATGTCTTTGAAGTGAGGATTTAATAAACGATGTATAGGATGCATCACTCTTAGTTGTCTTCTGGTGGCAATGATAAGTGGCTTAACTACTGCATGAGTATGTAACCTAGAAAACAAATAAACCACCTAGGTTTCAGTTCTAGAACTCTCTAAAGAGAAAACGTAATAATAAGAACTATGCGGGATTATGCTTCATGTATATTGAGTAAATAATTTACTATGCTACAGTCCTAACCCTTACATAAAAGGAATGGACATATCTATTAGAATTAATAATGAAGCTAACTCAATCACTAATAAATTTCTTTCTTTACTAGAAAAATAGTTGCATACTACAATTATCCAAAGACAAAAATAAAACATGGAGAAAATGACTCACCAGTGGCTAACTAGTAGATGATAAGCCAAATTGTTCGCAGCAACATGAGTTTTAGCCAACTCCCATGGGCTAAAGATCCTTGAATCAGGGTCCACACCTCCATCTGGTGGTAGAATGACCCTAGAGTTACTCTGCTGAGAGGAGCTAAGTTCTATTGCCACTGGCGTCGATCAATGTGCCAGAATACTTTGAGAAGTATAGTAGTGTTCGGGATGCACAAGCACAAACACCACTTTTGTGGACTATGCTTAGATATTGGAAGAGATGTTGGGGATCCAAGATGAATATCTGTTTTGACTCTACATTCTATAGATGGACGCAAGAACCAAGTCAAACACAAATGATCCACTGGAGAAAAAATATCAAGAATATTAATCTGTTTTTGCTTAATCTAGCGCATACAAGTTGACTCAATAAACTTCAACTAAAACTTAAAAAAAAAAAAAAAAAAAAAGTAAAAATAATACAGAGATATGAAAATTTAAAATTTGGGCCAAAATACAAGAGAAGTATCAATTTAAAACTAGTTAAGGATAGGTCTGAGTCACCCATCTTATATTTAAGTTAGATGTTTCTTTATTATTTTATTGATGGGAGATTTCCCCCAAAAATAGTAAACCACAACATACCACCTGCTCCAGCCACAGTTTTATTTTCCTTTACTTGGCTTTTGCATCTCTTCCTTGGATCCTTCTATCAACTTAATCTCTTAAAAACTTAATTCATCCCCTTTTATGGGGGCAATGATTCCCTCCTATTTTTTCATCCTCTAATATGTTTTTAATCAATCAATGACCTACATTATATGAACAGATTAGCAGGTAGTGTCTAACATTCAAGATTTTAAATTTTTTGTAGGCTTTTTCTTCATATTCAAGACCCAGGCATATCTATCAAGTGTCAAGTATATAGTACTGGCTCTATACGGCTGCATGAAAGGTTCAGTGTAATATATATAGCCTATCAACACATACGTAATACGTTGGTGGCCAAACACTATAGGCTATGTGTAGCTTCAACACAAGGGAGCTTATGACTTATCGCAACAATCCTACATATGCTACCAAAATCTCTGTTGGATAAAGGAAGAGAAGAAAGAAAAGAGGAAGAAAGAAAATATGGATATTCTCTCACCACGCAACTATTTATTTCTTCTCCCTTCATCTTACCTTTTTCTTCTATTTTCATATTCTTTAAATTCCCAAATAAAGTGCCCATAAGAATAAGCTCTGAGAGGCCACAAGAGACGGTCAACTGTTAGAGCTTGACACTTTCAAGGTGTAGGTCTCTAGTTTGTATC